AATCCCAAATCTAAAGTATTCTGCCTTAAAAAATAGTTTTCAAATGGTTTATTTTATGATTTGACAAAAAAGAAAAAAGTTATAGTCAAACAGGGAATCATGAAGCAGGAAACAAACAGTATAGAATTCATACCTCAAAGAAGGAAGGATACTGATAACTAACAATACTATATAATCACAAGCTCAAAGAGGGATAGATAATAATTACAAACTCAAGTAGTGAGGATTCTTAACATTACTCAAAGAAAGTGGAAGTTTAAAACCAAACTCAGTGAAAGTAAGATTTAAATATTATTTAAGGGTAGAATAAATTCTAATCAAAAACTATAAAATAGGTGCAGACATTTTACGGATTTTAAAATCAAACTGTAGGAAAGAAAGGATCCTTAACAGGGCAGGACGGATTTAAAAATCAATCAAGGTTGGACCCATAAAAACAAACAAAGTAGGACTAATACTAAAGATAGTAGAGATGTTTTGCATTTCTCAGGGATGAGCGGAATTATAAATCACTCAAGGTATGTCGGATTCTAACCAAAAAGTCCTTGTTCGCACAATTTTATTCAATTTTATTTCAACTATAATGTTCTAAGGGAATCACTTTACACTTATCTCTAATTTTTATCTAGCTGCGGACAAATGTTGCTAGTATTATAAAATATGCTGATAAATATAAATATGTTTGATAAATAAAATAAACTGTAAATGTTATACAACAGACTGCAGTTAAGATAATTTGAATACATTTCGATTATGAGATTTATAAATAAGTATTATTTCTGGTATTTAATCTTGAATAGCTCGCATATAAAGTTATCATTAGTAGAGAGATAAATATGTAAATTATGTATCTAAAAAACTTGCAGGTTGTTCCAAAAATAAAAATTTTGAAGATTTTGAAAGTTTTATAAAAAATACCATAATGTATGCAAGAAAAGAAATTAATGTACGCTAGATTCTGACGTGTGTATTTAGGTTAATCAACTACACTGATCATTGTTATTTTGTCAGAATCTAGCGTACATTTTCCTCCATTTGTCCTGACGGGCTCAAAACAGCGTATTGGTGTAAACTGCCCCAAAATTCATGCGTTCTTGCGCGGCGCAAGAACGCACGTTTTTGCGCGGCGCAAGAACGCACGTTTTTGCTAAATAAAATGATATTTTTCAATTGAAATCAAACTTTCTAACAAAGCTGAAAGATGTGACTGAAAACGCACAGGCGCAAGGAAATGACACACATTATCCAATTTTTTTTCAAGTGTCATTTTCATGCGTTCTTGCGCGGCGCAAGAACGCACGTTTTTGCTAATTAAAATGATATTTTTTAATTGAAATCAAACTTTTTAACAAAGATGAAAGATGTTACTGAAATTGAACTTGTTTTATTTAATTTTGGAAGGCGCACAGACGCACGGAAAAAATGACATATAACCCAAATTTTGATTTTGGGGCTATTTACATCTATAGATAAATTAAAGCCTGTTTCAGCCAATTCCATCCGATCCCCAAGAAATTCTATTATTACCATTATATTTTCCCGGAAAAGATTCCTCTCCGAGATCGGTCAGTCTGGAAGAATTCCGCTCATATTTTGGGTTCAGCTTCATACTGAATAAATGTAAAAAAGACTAATTAATTTTTTTACTTTTTTATGCCACGTTATGACAGGTCATAAGAAGTTAGTTAAATAAGATCAATAGTTCCAGTAAGACTCATAGTTCTAGAGGATTCATCGTTTGATTAGAAGATTCTAAAGAAAAATTTTAAAAAAAACTTTAAGATTAAGCTCTACAATATAATCTGTTTTTGAGATTTGTTTCAGAGGCTTAGCAAGTCGATTCTGAATTTAACCAAAAATCGAATATAACGTTAAAGTTTAAGTTTGAGGGACTAATTTTAATAGTTTTTACTAAGCGGCTTCGAAATTAAATCCAGTCTTGAGGTTAGACCTGCGTTTAAAATAAAAATCCAATTATTAAAAATTTATCTTTGTATTTCGCTTCGCAGGCTTTAAAATTAAATATAATCTATTTCAAGAAAAAGAATACTTGATTTATTAGTTTTCACTAATAATTTTTCCAAACAGAAAATGAAAAAATGGCCCTTTTTTGTCTTTTCTTTTCTCGTTTCTACCCCAGTTCTATTCTCCCTTTGGAAAATAATTTTTACCATTATTAGCAAGTTTTAATGATGAAGTGTAGTACGTATTTCTTCATACAAATCCACATATCTCCAGTTAAATCCAGGATCTCGTGGTTTTCTCGTTCAACTAGCTTTAGAAAATAAAAATAAAAATCAGAGAAATATCTACGAATAAAAGGCAAATAAGAGGAAAGAAAAAATAATGTTTTCCATGAACCTTAAAAATCTTCATAGACATAAATTCTCAATTTTTTATAGAAAGTTTGGTAATCGACGTTTTTCTGCTCTAGATCGGTTCAGATTTTTTTCCTTTTAGCTAAGGTGATAAGATGTTTTTAACTTTAATAATTTATTTTAATTAAATTTTACAATATTTTTAAATTTTAATATGATATCAGATGGAAACATTTTGAGACTTCTATATTGGCTTGTATTCCCAGGAGGGGTTAAACTTCTCATAATGAAGAGGGAGATGACTGCTGAACCCGACATCTCCCTCCTCCATCGGGTGTCAGAGCCAAGCGCTAGGGACGAAGTTGTGTTTTAATCTATGTACAATTCTTGCTTCCCCTGTAGGATACTAGATGCGTAACTAAACACAGCGCTTCCCCAGCTGTAATTCTGGGACTGCATAGTAGGTTCGTTCTGCTAGAGAGAAAGCAGGCAACTGATGAGATGTAAAATGTTATACAGGACGTAAAATTTTTTAAAAACATTTTATAAGTGGTCAAGGACCTATATCCTAACTAAAACCTAAATTAAGTCCACTAAAAGGATAGAATAATTTAGAAAACGAAGCATATTTTACCCAAAAAAAAGAAAGAAAATTATTTTATATCATTATTTCAGGACAAATTCTCCAACTTTCATCCTCCAGATATTAAGATTAAGTTCAGTTAAAGTTTCTGCTTTTCTTTTTTACACTAGATCCAATTTTCAAAATCAAGCTAGATTGCATGAATGCATTTTCTTTGTATTTGGCGTAAAAGGTTTTTTCCCTTACCGTTTTCCTCAAGCTATTTAGCCACAATTCACTCCTCAGGTATGAAAGTAATGACTTGGCATGGATAGTGGTTAGGATTATTTATCTAAAGTATTGTAGGAGAAGTAAAAGAAAAGGAAGTTTTGGAAAAAGGTGTAGAGAATAGATTAGATCAAATAGTGGACTTGGGATGTATTTTCTATTTTAGTTGGAGTCCTTTTGGGACGAAAATCCTTGAGGGATTATAGGATTGGTTTAAAGTATGAATTTAATTTAATTTAATTTTTATTTTTATTTAAATGGTGGATTTAAAAAGCAATCGGTTTAGGATAGAGTTACTATTGTAGTTAAAGTCCTTTTGGGACAGAAACCTTGAGGGATTATAGAATAAGAATAGTAGACCCAAAAACCATATAACAAGAATAACAGAAACAAGAACCGTAAAACAAGAATAATAGAACCAAGAAATGTATAACAAGAAGAATAGAACTAAGAACTGTAGAATAAGAATAATAGGACCAAGAAATGTATAACAAAAAGAACAGAACCAAGAACCGTAGAACAAGAAGAACAGAACCAAGAACTGTAGAACAAGAAGAATAGAACCAAGAACCATAGAAACAGAAGAATATAACCAAGAACCCTAGAACCAGAAGAATATAACCAAGACCCGTAGAACAAGAAGAATAAAACCTAGATCCATAGAACAAGAAGGAAAAACAAGAACCGTTGAGCCAGAAGAATATAACCAAGAACCCTAGAACCAGAAGAATATAACCCAGAATCCTAGAACAAGAAGAATATAACCAAGAACCGTAAGACAAGAAGAATAAAACCTAGATCCATAGAACAAGAAGAAGAAACAAGAACCGTTGAGCCAGAAGAATAGGAGAATAGAATCAAGAAGAATAGCAGCCTTATTCTATTGTTAGAAGAGAAGGATTGTGAATATTGAAGAGATTTAAGTCAGGATTCTAAACCTAGAAATATATTGCGGTTAAATTCCATATTTGCAGCACGTATTATTGGATTGCAACTCCAACTAGTATCAATAAAACCCTAATGGATTCTATAATGGAACTCAAGGAATCAAACAACCCAGAGACTAGATACAGGATGGAGGTAATCCAAATAGATTTACTAGAATAGATATCTATTAGAGCTAGTCTTATGGTTTAAAAGTTTTGGTAAATTGAAATAATGAAACAAATGGTTTATCATTAATATTTTATATTTATGACTATAAATATCATTATTTATCTAGTTAATATTTTCAATGTTTGTATTCTAAGTTAAAAAACCCAAAATATCTTTTTTGTTGGGCCTTAAATTATTATGAGCAGATCATTTGCCAAATTCTTACTTAGGCTAGAACCGGTTTAGTATTTAGACATGTTATTGTTATTCAAGCTAGAACTGGTTTAGTAACTGGACATGTTTACTCAGACTATAAATGCTTTAGTAACTGGACTTTACTCAGACTAGAGCTGGTTTAGAACTAAACGATGTTTACTCAGACTAGAACTGGGTTAGTAACTAAGTAATGTTTACTCAGACTAGAACTGGTTTAGTAACTAAACAATGTTTACTCAGACTAGAACTGGTTTAGTAACTAAATAATGTTCACTCAGAATAGAACTGGTTTAGTAACAAAACAATGTTCACTCACACTAGAACTTGTTTAGTAACTAAACAATGTTTACTCAGACTCTAATAATTAAATTTTAAGTTTGGACTTAAGTTGTGTTCCTCTCCCTCCAGTGCGTGTTCTGCAAACTTCAGTTTCTTAAGTGGGAAGACTATAGAGAAGATTCCCTGTTTAATTATCTCTATCCTTCTCCTTCCAAACTAATCATCTACAACAACAAAGAAAACAAAATTTAAACCATTTTTTATTTTATTTCATCTAATCCAGGTTAAATTCATTCATCTGTCTGTTTCCAAAGCTTGGAACATTGTTCCAATAGTTCATGAAATCTGGAACTTCATCCTCATCTTCCTGCTCCTCCTCCTCCTCTGTATCATCTATATCCTCTATATCTTCTAGAGGTATTGGAGCCTCCTCTCCTGTATACGGATACCAGCTGAACCTTGTAGAGAAGTTCTCCATCCTAGGTTAAGGGACTGTAGTTGAAATTTAAGGTGGCCTTTAATTGAAAAAGAGAGGCATGCTCGATGGACAACGGTACCCTTTAAACTTTATCTGATAAATAACATGGAAGAAATCAGGGTTTTTATAGCTTGGAAAAGTGTTTAATTCTGACAATTTCCTCCCTTGTTTCTGAAGCAGAAATGCACAGGTCGGTTTTAAGAGAAAAAACAACTGAAAAGAAAGGATAATCCATATCTCCGGCATTCTTGATAAGACAAAGTATTTAAGGGTACCGTTGTAAATAGAACATGCTGCTCTATAAATGGAGAGTCACTGGGAGACTTCGTCCGAATAACATTTTACAAAACCGGTTTAAGTCAGACTAAAGAGTAAAGACAGATTATCAAGAGCAGCAAAATGAAGAACTTTTTAAAATTTTAGTAAAGAAAATATATTCTAATGAGGGGCTAATCTTAAACCTTTTAAAAATCATATAATCGACAAAGAATATAATTAAAATCATTATAAAGGGTAATTCTAAATACATGATAATAATGTTTTAAAATAGTTGAGAAAATATTTACCCTTAGATCACCAGGAAAACAAATAGTCTTAAAGTTTAAGTAGCTTTACTTTGAAACTAAAGCTTGAGCAATGTGTTAAAACCGATAAAAATAAAAGTTGTGCAGTAAAAGTTAGTTTAAATCTTTAGAACTGGTTAATTCCAATTTTATTTTGTTCAAAGAATATAAGATATATACAGGGTAGCCACTAAGGATACGACTTTAATGACGAGCAGCTATTCTTTGAATTTCACGATCTGAAGATTTAATCCCTATATCTTTTCAACCCTGATGTTTTAGACATTTGATATTTCAAACTATAAATTACGTTAGATCAAATAGTTAGTTTAAAATATCAAAGGTTTACACCATCAGGTTACACAGATATAGGGCATAGCAATTTTGAATTTGTAATACAAAGATGTTGAATGCTGATTAAAGATGTAAAGTTGCAGAAAACTATTTTTTTTCAGAAATTCTGTGAAACACAGTAATTTAAAATATTTAAATCTGGTTGTGCATTGTACATGGCACATGGTTTCATCAGCATCTTCTACGTCCTGATACCTGAGAAGGTTTAGGACTGTATCCTTGTCCTCATCCATGATGAATCTGCAGGACCAGACACTCAGCTCATCCAGCTCGTTATTCCTGATTTAGTTTTCATTATTCAAGATTCAGTATTCATTATTCAAGATTCAGTATTCATTATTCAAGATTCAGTATTCATTATTCAAGATTCAGTATTCATTATTCAAGATTCAGTTTTCACAATTCATTCATGATTCAGTTTTCATGGATATCTGGATATAGCATGGTATCTTGATATTAAGTATTCAGGCTATTTATGGATATCTGAATATATTGATATAAAAGTATGGATATTAAAATATCTAAGCTATGTTTGGATATCTGAAGATACTAAAAAGTATGGTACCTGGATATTAAAGTATCTAGCCTATATATGGATATCTATATATATTGAAAAGTATGGTACATGGATATTAAAGTATCTAGACTATATATGGATATCTGAATATATTGAAATGTATAGTACCTGTATATTAAAGTATCCAGGCTATATCTGGATATCTGAATATATTGAAAAGTATGGTACATGGATATTAAAGTATCTAGACTATATATGGATATCTGAATATATTGAAATGTATAGTACCTGTATATTAAAGTATCCAGGCTATATCTGGATATCTGAATATATTGAAAAGTATAGTACCTGGATATTAAAGTATACAGGCTATATATCTGGATATCTGGATATATTAAAAAGTATAGTACCTGGATATTAAAGTATCCAAGCTGAATATCGAGATACTGTGGCACTGATCAAACACCAAACTCTGGAAATTATTTTTAATAATTTTCTAGTTTATATTGATTTATTAATATATTGATATATTGATATTTTAATATATTGATATATTGATATATTGATATATTGATATATTGATATATCAACATCTTGGATAAGTTTCTTATTATTTATGATCTGTAAGGAGACTGTTAAAGCTCAGGTGAAAGACATTGAGTCTTTGTCACAAACTCTGATAATTTCCTATCACTATATCTTTGCAACTCAATGTCGGAGACCTTTGATATTTAAACAATGAGTACTGTTAGACCAAAAAATCTAAGTTTGAAATATCAAATGTTTACATCATCAGGTTGCAAAGATATAAGGATTAAAAATTTGTTTTTGTAAAAAAAATTTCTGTTATTTTTACGATTTTAAATGGTATTCAGATTAAAAAACAGCCATACGTTTTCAATAAATGTTATACCTTGATATTAGTTAACGGGTTTATTTCAAGTATATCAAACCAAACCTAGCAATATTAAACCTTTTAAACTTTTTAAATTATTTTTACATACAGTGGTAGGTGACTATATCAATACAAAGAAGACGACTTTCGTTTTAAATTTTGATTTATATCATGCTGTTAAACGACATGGATACACATAAACATATAAGTCATAAGAACTGTCAATCAAAAAGCTTCTCGTTATATACATGCAATCTTGTAATTCAAAAAAGCTTGTTAACAATCAAAACTCAAATAAAAATTCATCTTAATTGTATTGATATAATCGCCTACTTTTGTGTTAAAAGATCTGAAATAATGCTTGTTGGTAAAGAGGGATGTGAAGCTGTATAAAGATTATTTTTTTACAATCTGGTTGAATTTTACAATCTGGTTGAATTTTACAATCTGGTTGAATTTTACAATTTGGTTGAATTTTTCAATCTGGTTGAATTTTACAATCTGGTTGAATTTTAAAATCTGGTTGAATTTTACAATCTGATTGTATTTTACAATCTGGTTGAATTTTACAATCTGGTTGAATTTTACAATCTGGTTGAATTTTACAATTTGGTTGAATTTTTCAATCTGGTTGAATTTTACAATTTGGTTGAATTTTACAATCTGATTGAATTTTACAATCTGGTTGAATTTTACAATCTGGTTGAATTTTACAATCTGGTTGAATTTTACAATCTGGTTGAATTTCTTTTGAAGAATTCATTGAGTTTAAAGAGACTCTTGAGTAATACAATAGTCAGGGTTTTCGAAAACCGTTTAGAATTTATTAAAAACTAAATTAAACATGAATGTCGAAAAAAGAAAGAAAAGCTTTAATTAAATTGATACCTGGTCATTCAAAGTATCAACAAACTGGAACCTAGAAGTAGAAGAACAATAAGTGATTTATTTTTTCTTTTTCAGAATTTTATGATTTTTATCTAGATTTACAGGGTGAATACTTTATTAGCGTATTTTACATAATTCCAGACGCTATGAAAAGTTGGATAAACTTTAAAAACTGGGATGAACTTTGAAGTGCACCGCAACAACTTGGCCTTTAATTTTACCTCACTAACTAACTTATACGTTTTTTGTAGACCTAGAAATGTAAATTTTGGATATATAATACAATTGTTTTGAGCTTTAGATTTTTAAGAAGTAATTGGAGATATTCTCATTTACTATTGCGTGAGACTTTGAACCACTGTTGTTAATGTAACGCAATTCTTTGCTTAGTTTATCCTTGTAAACGTTTGAAAATATTTTACTAATTCTTGAACATTTTTCACGGAACGTCCTAAAACCCATAAGTTTTGTAACGGCATTAAAATCGTCTTTGATGTTCAAAGCAATGCGTGTATTTGCTCTGCTGAATGTTCAAATACAGTGATCGGCGTTTATATAAATACAATACTAACGACTTTCTACTTTTTTACTTGAATACCGTCTAAGCAACAATACCGTTTTCCCTAAAATTAAAACGCTAAAAACTTGGGAAGTCTAACAATTTCAGCGGCCATAAATTACACCACTCAGAAATTAAGGGTATTTTGATTTCATCTCTAGCAAATTGATTCTGCATGAATAAATTCTCAATCCCAAAAAAGTTTTTTTTTCATTTATAGGTGTCAATTATTTACCTTAAATGTTGTATTTTGAATGCTGTTGAAAGAAGTTGCATTATGGTCTAAATAGAAATTAAACCTTCAAACAAGGGAAAGCTAGAACTTTATTTTATTAATTTAATTCTTTAGTATTTTCCTTTATTGGCGGTTTTGATAACTTCAACATTTTCTGAGATAACAAAAAAATCTTCTGATATTCTATCAAAGATTTCTGAAATTCTATCAAAGTTTACTGACATTAAATCAAAGTCTTCTGAGTTTCTATCAAAGTTTTCTAATGTTCCATCAAAGATTTTGAGGTTCAGTAAAACTTTATTAAAGTTAAAAAAATGATCCAAGAGAAGACAGGAAATATATGATATGTCTCTATGATGTTAGGTACTTTCCCAAAGAATTTTTCCCGAGTGACAACTTCCCAAAGGTATTTTCCCAAGTGGCAACTTCCCAAATGTGCAAATTTCCCAAGTCTGTCCCAGCACTCGGCCCCTATTGTAGCCTGCGGGAAAGTGTCCCTTGGGAAATGCCTCTGGGAAAGTACCTAACACTGTGTCTGTAGTGTCTCCACCTTCCAGAAATTAGGATATAAAGGTTATTTTCAAATCAATGAACAATCCCTTAAAAAAGTTTTACCTTTGTATAAAGATGTGCTCCCCTTGTATTCAGAATTATCAGTTCCTCCAAGTTAACAAAATATTCTCGACCAGGGTTAAAAACTAAATACAATTTATTTTGTAGAATAACAGCAATGCCCGGCCGTGGAATTTTAAAAAATCAAATTAAAAAAATCCCCATGGGTTCTCTTAAAAAGTTCAGCCAATTCGGTCCAGCAGTTTGGCCAGCTATAGCTAACATATATAATTATTATATGATAAAGATTTATAATTGAGTCTTTGTCACAATCCATGATTTTCTAATCCCTATATCTTTGCAACCCAATGCCTTAAACCTTAGATTTTTTTAAACTATGAATTCTGTTAGATCAAATAATCTAAGTTTGAAATACCAATGGTTTACACCATCAGGTGGTACAGATATAAGGATTAGAATATTTGAGTCTGTGACAAAGACTCAATTCCTTTGCAAAATTATGCACAAATAGACGACTTTGATCATTACTCATTACATAACATATTTATCATTTCAGTTATTACGTAATCATCGAATCTTTCAACATATAAATTATTCATTCTTGTATTTAATAGTTCTTGTAAAACCGGAACTTTCCATACATGTTCCAATGGGACAGTAAAATATTTCATTTGTTTCTTAACTAACATTCAACTGAGATCAGATAGATTTACAAAACAATCATTTGCAATGGAAAATAAATGTCTGCCAAAAACTGAGTTAAGGTAATTTTTGCAAAAATTAGAAAGAAATCTAATGCAAAGCTTAGAACTTGCTTCAATAGCCTCATAGAAAGGCCCACATCTAATCAAATGTAATAACTCCATCTTCTTCGCCATTGCTGACATCCTCTCAACCATCATGGTGCTTGAGGTGTCCTGAAGTGCCTTGACACCAAATTTACTATTTGTCAAAAACTGTTGGTATTTGGAAATTGACAGATACTGTCACCAAAACATTTCCATACCCAGCTTTATCAATTTTCGATATCTTTTCCCAGAGATCTAGAAAAATGGTAGATATCTTTCGTTTTTCTTGGATATTTCCCTCTGTATCCTGCAGTTAAAAAGCTTGATAATGATCGAGAATTCTTTATCTGTTCCAGGGAGAACTCTCGGCTGAGAGTATCCAAAACACAGGTCTTATCATGAACTTTATCAAAAGCATAAAAAGTGCTCCTAAGATTCCATCAACTAGAATCATTCCCCAGAACTTTTATCTTTACAGAGGAAGCCTTGATGGCGTGTTCCTTTACAGTGGTCTCACTATCCATTTCCTCCAGGGAAGTATCTAAAGACAAATCCAAGGATTTTTCGGGTTTTGGCCCCATTTCGCCACAATATTGGCTAAAGCCAGACTGTATGTAGAATCTCCCAGATTTGTGTGGGTGTACTCTCTCTTGTGTAAGCCTTGATCGCGTATTGAGAAGGAAGTGTATATACTGCCTAAAACACTCTTACAGAGAGTTTTTTACTGCTCGACTACTCAATACTAACAATACTAACTATATTTTTAAATGAGTGAAGATCATTATTATATAGATGTACAAGTCACTACAAAGGAACTGAGTTTTTGCCACAATCTTAAATTTTCTAATCTTTAAATCTGTACAAACTGATTTTTTGAGTTTTAAATATCTAAGGTCTTCGACTTTGGGTTGCAAAGAAATATGATTTTCAAAATTAGAGTATGTGGCAAAATGTCATTTCCCTTGCAAATGTGAAATGGTAGATGTTGGAAAAAATCATATTTTTAAAGCTTTGTTTGTTTCACTACCACCAACATATCAGACTTAAATTCTGCATAAAAATATTCAGTTATTGACATGAAGAAAGATTTACTGGAACATATGAATTTATTTAGAACAGAAAACTGAAATAAATCTTCCTTTTAGGAGACTCCAGAAATTGAATTCAACAAACAGAGAGAAAATTAAATTGCTCAAAGTAAGAAACAAAGTTTAAAAAACACGTTTATATCTATTTTTGGTGAGAGTTGGGGAGGAAATGAAACACTGCAGTATAAATACGATGTAAATATACTGTGGCAACTATACCATCTGATAAGCTTCAAAGTAAATTAAGAAATTAACAGACCAAAAGGATTTTACCAATGAAACTGTTTAAAGTTCTCATAAAGTTCAGTTTCCAAAATGATAAACATTGATATCTAATTCATAACTAATCAGATATATAATTTAAAATTAATCAGACAAAGATTTTAGGCCAACGCTTTGAGTTGGGCACTAACATCTTTGCAAATTATCCTTTTTCCATCTCATAATCTGAGTTCGTTTCCCTTATGTCCATTTGACAACCCAAATTATTTTTTTAAATAATCTTTTTTGTTTGTTTATTTTCTTGTGGTTTTTAACAATTTTTTTATCGATTTTGATGGTTATTATATCGTTAGAACTGACGAGGGTCAACCCAGACCGAAATATATTTTCAATAAATGTGGAACTAACATCTACTTTTTTTTAACTCTACAGAGGTTTGGTCCATCACCATCACCGAATTTTAAATGGAAGGTCACATAAAATTGCGCTTAGTTACAGTCCCTTTAAAAAACCCGGTTCACGTTATATTTCGCATTATCCCTCAGCTGGAAGACGACAAAAAAGTACAAGCTGCTGCTTTCTCTAACATATTAGATTGGGTAAACAATTTAAAGAAATTATTCTGTTTTTAACTTCAAATAAACCCTTCGATCCTTCAAACATAGTTTTCTTAATCTCTTAATCATCTTGAATACTTTATCACTAAATATTCTAGAAAGATCAATATACAGTGGTATCCAGAAAAGAGTGGAATTATTGTCAACTTTAGATTTCTTTTAATTATAAAATATATCTGGAAGGAATTTATTTCTGATCTAAATAAGCAAAAACTAAATTTCAGATTATTTTATTCCAAATTTATTGTCTATTTTTTACTTTTAAAAGGACAAATAAAACCTGATATTTTCCAAACTAAAATCCTCTTTTAAGTAAATAGTGTCCTCCTACAAATATATAAACAGTCCCTTGAATAGAAAAGTTTGTCACCTGGAAGAAAGGAGCCAATACAGGTTAATTTTAGGTATTTTAGTTTAGGGCAGAGGTCCCCTAATTGCAGTACATCTACACGGTTTATCTAGACAAATATTTTTCGGTATTTAACAAAAATAGTTAAATGACATTTTTACAAAAAATTTGACGGATTAATCTGGTTAATTTGTTTAAGAATCTAAATCGAGGATGTTTTACTTAGTTCTGAGGCCGAATTTGGAGAGTTTGAGCCGCGGCTTAAATTTGAGACGCGGCTCAAATATGGTTGGTTCCCCTTAAAATTGTATTCAATGTTTCAAGATTTAAGCCGGCGCTCAATTGAAACCGGTTTTTGGCGGATTTGAGACACGGCTCAAATTCATTAAATGCTGGCTCTGGATTTATTTGAACTTTTGAGTTTTAAAACTATGATCGTCATTTTGAGACCAATACATGCTTGGCCGTATAAATACCCTCTTTACAACCACTTAAATTTGGAATATGTGTGAAAAGGGATAAGGACTTAGATAATCTTTGCATTTTTTATCATATGCAGCATGTGGACGTTGTTTTCATGTATGCAAGAAGAAAACGAGAAAAAACTACTGAACAAAAATTGCGTACGATTTCTCAAATTTTGAACCTTGTAAAGACAGGATTATCAATTATCTGATACCTTCTCCAGGGTAAGGTTGAGCAGAGAGGATAAATTCTTTAGAAGAGGAACTATCCCGTTCTTGAAATATAACACTGTAGAAAATAAAGACAATAATTCTAAAAATTACTTTGAAAATAAATTTGTTTATAGGATTCAAGAATATTATTTTGAATCGTTGATTGGAGTATCTATTTGAGGGTCGCGATGACCGACTTTCAGATATTTTAATATATAAATTTTGACTACTGAGGATCGTCGTGAGACGTGAAACATTTTGTTAGTGTAATAGTTTACTATGCAAAATGTTTCATAGCCAATGCCAATCTTTAGTATGTCTTTTTTATATATTGTTTTTATTTATAAAAATGAAAATTTTGAAAAAACCTGAAAGTTGAAATTATGTTGAGAAAAAGATGAATTTCCTAGATGCAGCGAGGTCAAGTGGGTCAGCTTACTTACTGGTTTCAGTAAATGTAAACTAGAATATTCAAAATTGTGTTATGCAACCGCAAAGTGAATAAATACTAAAGTGGACCAAACTCATAGTTGTATGACGACATTTTATGTCCCAAGTATTTAGAAATATGTATATACATATATAAATTGGTCTGTATACGAAGTGTACAGTACAACAGAAACTGGACTCCCTTTGTTTTCAAACACAGACTTAGAATTTCTATTTAACTTAAATATAGATTAAAGTAAATTAAGATTTAAGAAGTGAATTTTAGCCATTTTACTGCACAATAAATGATTTCAGACAGCACAATAATGCCTGCAAGCATAATCTGTAAAACAAGGAATGCACAATTTGTGATACCGAAAAATGAAGATCTTCGAAATATATCTCTTAATGTCTCCACTTTTGTATTTTGACAGATTTAAGAGTGGTTAAGAACTATAAGACATAGTTTTAAAGATATAAGAGAGCAGTCGTTGAGAAATAGACATAGTTTTAAAGATATAAAGAGAGGGGTATTCAGGTTTTTTTCCCAGGAAGGGCTTACAATTCTTCGTCTTTTTAGGGCGGGGGCGGCCAAAACTCCCCCGAAAAGAATATATTTCACTAGTCCGAAAAATGAAGATCTTCGAAATATATCTCTTGGTCTTCACTTTTGTATTTTGACAGATTTAAGAGTGGTTGAGAACTAGACATACAGGGTTTCCCACCAAACNGGAGGGGGATGAGCCCCCATAGCCCCCCCTGAATACGCCTCTGGATGATAACATAGATCTGTTTTAAGAAATTTACAAACATATTTTAAAATGGAGTGAGATTTGAAAGAACAAAACTAAGCAGTTTTAAAGATAAATTCCTTTAGAATTAGAAGTGCCAGGCAAAATCAATGAATTAATTAAGCGACTAAATAGTATTTACATATAAACTACATAGAAACGTACAAAAAATATTGATTTTAAATCGTGAAAATTTCGAAGTTCTATCTGAAGACGACATTTACATGGGTCTTTCGTCTATTTTTTCTAGTCTTTACTTTCCAAACGAAATCTTTTCATGAAATTATTTCCAAACAAAATAAAACCTTATGGCCCAACCTGTCGTCGTTTCCTTAGTCTGTTCCACTTTAGTATTTATTCACTTTGATAGGTTGAACTGTCTGAATGATTTGTTTGAAATTAAATGGATTTTTTATGGTGTAAGTCGTATTTTGCAATTTTCTGAATTTGTATGGGCGCTAAATTATTCGGTATGAGACGTCTTTAACAAGTTTCTCCTTATAGACGCAACAGATAGAAGTAAGATTAGTAGCGATCAAAAGCGCTTTTTTATCGCATTAAGCCTAAACCCCCTTTCATTTTTCGCGAACACTCCCTTTAAAGGACTGTACTTCTAATTTGAAGGGACTCTTTATTAAAAAGAATGGCATGTACGAATAGGTCCAGCCATTTGGCCGGCTATATGCAACATATATACAAATGTCTTATTTTATTCTGTAGATGACCGAATGTACTAAAACATTTAAATTATAAAAAAACTAATACGCAAATTCTACATTCAATGGGTAAACATGGTATATCAGACTTTTAACCAGGACTTCTAGTTTACCATGAGTGAAACTGTGCGATACCAAATCTCTGAATGATGGCTTTTGATTTTATAATAAATCATTATAAATATAAAATATAAAACAATTATCTAATAATTAAAAAAAAATATTTTTACCTAAAATGAACTTTTCTTTTTTCTCCGGTCCATTTAATACTTCGGCCCAGCTTCTGATGAATTTTTAGATCAGTCCCTTTTTTATCACCATCATTGCCATTATCACTGTCATCATCATCCTCATCATCATCATCATCATCCTCATCATCATCATTAAGTATTTCTCTCTTCACATGCGTAATTTTTAAATCATTGGTTCCAATTTTCTTGCTTTTCTTATAGGACAATTTTCTCTCTTTGCCTCCTTCTTTCTTTTCCTTTTCACTTGGCTTTGTCTTATTTTTACTGATAGTTCCTTCTGCCTCCATCTATAAACATTGATGTTATATTAATATACATATCATATTAATCATAAATATAAATTCCATTAATATTTTCCAAAACTGTAATTTACTTTATCCTTTTATCTTGGCAACCTGATCTTGAGAACCTTTGATATTTCAAGCTAGGAATTCTGCTTTGCAACCTGATCTTGAGAACCTTTGATATTTCAAGCTAAGAATTCTCCTTTGCAACCTAATGAGGTAAACCTTTCATATCATAAAGGAATTGAGTTTATGCTACAAACTGAAATTTTCTAATCCCTATATCTGTGCAACCTGATGGTGTAAACCTTTGTTATTTCAAATTTAGATTAGTTGGCCTATTATAATGTATGTTTTCAATATCAAAGGTTTACGACATTGGATTGCAAAGATATAGGGATTATAAAACCAAAGTTTATGACAAAAACTTTATGATGTGGAAGGTTTACACGATTAGGTAGCAAACATATAGGAATTACAATATTAGAGTTAGAGACAAGTATCCAGTTTCTATAATAGAAAAATGCTGAACTAAAAAAATACCAAAAGATTCAAATAATACAATATTAAAACACAATTAAATAGGATTAAAGTAAATTATTGGTCTGATTAATGATAAATTATTCCATTGTTTTCAAATTTAATGCCAGCCTTTATTTCTTTACTGCGTTAAAATTAATAAC